TTCCTGAAAGTTGGCAGTTACATGTAAAAACTTGATCAGATTCAGTTGGAATTTTTTTAAAGAATATTTCATAGGTTAGTGGTATGTAATTCTATCAGGAGTCATATCTAGTTCTATTTCTTTTTGAGATTTAACAGCCATTGATAATTAATGTTAGATTACTGTAAACTGATATGTTAATTTTGTCATTCTTTTTTGTCTTTTTTGATTTTTGTTGTGTTTGTTTCATTTTTTGTGACAGTCTTACTGTGTAGTCCAAGGTGACCTTGAACACATTATATAGCCTCTGCTGGCCTCAAATTTTCAGTGATCCTCTTGCCTCTGCCTTCTGAGTGCTAAGATTACAGGCTTGTGCTATCACATGTGGCCCTTATTTTTTTTCTCATAAATTAGGTAAGCATTCTATCTATAAAAGAAAATTGTTCACTGTTAACTCCTCAGTTACTATGAAGGATAGTATATATAGGAAAGAATGATTCTTTCTAATTTTTACCCATTTTCAGTGAGTTGGATTCTTAGAAGAATCTTCTAAAATTAACTAATATATTTTCACTATTACTGTAAGCTTACTAATTAAGCATTTTAATGAAATCAGTCCATTAAATTACTATCCTTATAATTTTATGAACATGTAACATACCACTTTGGGACAAGTGAAATGACCTGACATTGGCTTCTGAGTCTTTTCAATGTGATAGTAATAGCTTTTGATATCTTTCTTGCTTTTTAATGTACCAAAGTATTCAAATGCATCCTGAGCATTTCTGGCTTAATCCTAAAACTTAGCTCTTTCCCCAAAGAAGTTTGGTTTCTTTTATTTGAAAATTATACTTAGAAAACTATTAAGATCTATGTGCTACTGGGTTAGTCATTATTTCTAGGCATATTCAGTGGGTAGAGTTAAGAATTTTTTTTAGTTTAAAATTAACTTGGTACTCTTTCATCTATTTCTGACATCGAAAGATATTGATTCTCCCCTGAGCAACCATTTTAAATATAACAGCATGTATGTGTTAACATTGTCGTTCTCCTATTATTTTGTTATGAAATTTTGTTTTACCTTTTTTTCTGTAAAATAAAAGTTTAAGAAACAACAAAAAAGGAAAGATACCGGTTCTCAGTGGTGACAATATAAATAATCTCATTTGCTTTACCCCACAATGCAAGCACAGTAGTCTCATTTTGGAAATAGTGTCTTTTTGGATGTGTGTCAGTTGGGGTCTCACTGTACTGCCAAGGCTAGTGTAGAACTCATGATCTCAAGTAATCTTCCCACCATAGCCTCCAAAGTAGCTGAAATTACAAGCACATGCCCATTCCCAGCTGTAAGTACAATGGTTTCTTAAGTATTTCTTTCATTACATAGTGAATATATGTGTTTTCTGTTTTCAGGGATCAGTGATGTTCAGTGATGTGTCTGTAGACTTCTCTCAAGAGGAGTGGGAATGCCTGGACTCTGTGCAGAGGGACTTATACAGAGATGTGATGTTGGAGAACTACAGAAACCTCATCTCACTGGGTAGGGCTATCTATACCAGTAATGTATTGTTCTCTGAAACTTCTGCTTCTAGCTGAATTTTTGCTCCTTATTCTCAATAAGTGGTTTTAGCTAGAATGAAAAGAAAGATGGAAAATGGGCAACTCTGATGTGCTGTGGCTGAAACTTCATCTTCATCTTCTTTGGCTATTTTTATAGTGAAATTTCTTCTTTGATCACCAAGAGACTAGATTTGATTTCCCCACATTGTAACTGTGTTTCATATTCTTTTCTCATGAGCAGGACCTAGCATTCCTAAGCCTCAAGTGGTCTCCTTGTTGGAACAAGGGAAAGAGCCCTGGATGGTTGGCAGAGAACTGACAAGAGGCCTGTGTTTAGGTAAGCAGAAGTCACCAGACAGAGCAGTAATTAAAAATAATAAATTAGCTTGTCAATAAGAAAACAACACCTTTGAGATGGACCTGGAGAGAAAACTTAAGTCCTTTTGCCATGAAGTTTTGTCTCTCCCCTCACTACTCTTTCTCCTACTCATGTCCTTACCACCTCTTAATTTCAAGTTCAAAAGTGCCTTTCACTTCCCCTCCAAAATCTTTTATCCATATTTTAGATTTAGTTCCTTGGTAGCATTTCTTCCTTTTATATTTAAACTTACATAAGGAAACCAAGAAGCTAAAATAGGCATCCCTCCCCAGTCCATTGAATACAGGGGAAACAGAGGGAGAAGAGGGGCTGCCTAACTTTGGATAAAGCTCTTATTCTGTGTATAAAAATATACATGCACACCTATATGCATATATATGAATATTCTCTCTAAAGTCACTATATTACTATAGTACATCCCTTACTGACTCTAAGCTAGCCATGAATATGGCTCCTCCCAACCAATCAGGTGCTCACCCCAAAGATAAAGCTTGTGTAAAGGCAAATAAACCAGCAGAAAGATACAGAGTCATTTCTTTTAAAACAAATGCACAAGCTGGGTATGGTCGCACACACCTGTAATCCCAGCACTAAGGAGGCTGAGGCAGGAGGACTGTTGGAAGTTCCAGGCCAGCCTGGGCTACAAAATAAGCTCAAGGCCAGCCTAAGCTCCATAGTGAGATCTTGTCTCAAAAAGACAAAAGAAAGAAAAAAGAAATGCACAGTTTAAATCAACCTTTCCAGATGACTCATGCCCACATCTATAGTTGAGAATTATTGTGGTACATTATTTCTATAGTCTTCTTCTGTTTCTTCATTGTTATCTTATTAATTTCAATGCATTTCTTGTCCATATTTTAGATTAAACAGGTATCCCTGATAATTGTATGTTATTTACTGTCCCGACCTGCGGGTTAGTCAATGAGGACCCTAGAGGGAGAGTGGGGATGAGAAGGGACAGGAGACACAAAGAATGGAGACAAGACAGGATTCTGATCAAGTCTTGTTTATTCAGGGGAGGTGCTGGATATATAGAGGGGGTATAGGAATGAGGAAGTCTCAGCTCTAGGGGGTCAGCAGGTATCTAGGCAATGGGGGAAGGTGCCACCCCTGGGGCATAGCACATGATTCACGGGGAATGGGCAAGGTGAGAAGGACCATAAACTTAACTCAGCAGGGGAAAAGAAACTTAAGAAAATGGCTAACACTATTATAAAATGGATACCAGTTAATGCTTCCCACAATTTACCTACTAGATGTTATTGTCACTTTAAGTTTTTTCCATATCCTAAAAGTTTAACTTTTCACAAATAGGAAGGAAAAAAGAGTATTCATGACTTTCTTTTCTTTTCAGATCTGGAATCAATGTGTGAAAGCAAGTTATTATCTCTCAAAAAGGAAGTTTATGAAATAGAGTCATGTCAGAGGGAAATAATGAGTCTTACAAAGAATGGCCTTGAAAACTCTAGTTTTATAGATGTTTGGGAATACAGAAGCCACTTTACAAGACAATTGGGATACCACAATGGACATTTAAAGCAGGAAATACTTACTCAAGAATATATGCCCCAATTTATGCAACAGACATTCCTTACTCTTGATCAGATATTTAATAATGAAGAGAAACTCTATGAGTGTAAAAAATGTGGAAAGGCCTTTAGTCAGAGCTCACAATTTATTCAACATCAGAGAATTCATGTTGGTGAAAAATCTTACAAATGTAAAGAGTGTGGGAAATTTTTTAGTTGTGGTTCACATGTTACTCGGCATCTAAAAATCCATACTGGAGAAAAACCCTTTGAATGTAAAGAATGTGGAAAGGCCTTCAGTTATAGCTCATACCTTTCCCAACATCAAAGAATTCATACTGGTAAGAAACCCTATGAATGTAAAGAATGTGGGAAAGCCTTTGGTTATTGCTCAAATCTCATTGACCACCAACGTATTCACACTGGTGAAAAACCATATGAATGTAAACTATGTGGGAAAGCCTTTACTAAAAGCTCACAACTCTTTCAACATGTGCGAATTCATACAGGTGAAAAACCCTATGAATGTAAAAATTGTGGCAAAGCCTTTACTCAGAGCTCAAAGCTGGTTCAGCATCAGAGAATCCATACTGGTGAGAAACCCTATGAATGTAAGGAATGTGGCAAAGCCTTTAGTAATGGCTCAGCACTTATTAATCATCAGAGGATTCACACTGGTGAGAAACCTTATGATTGTAAAGAATGTGGGAAGGCTTTTACTCAGAGCTCACAACTTCGTCAACATCAAAGAATCCATGCTGGTGAGAAACCTTTTGAATGTCTTGAATGTGGAAAAGCCTTTACTCAGAACTCACAACTTTTTCAACATCAGAGAATCCATACAGATGAAAAACCATATGAATGTAATGAATGTGGAAAGGCCTTTAATAAATGTTCAAACCTTACTCGACACTTGAGAATTCATACTGGAGAGAAGCCTCGTAGCTGTAAGAAATGTAGGAAGGCATTTAGCAGTGGCACAGATCTCATCTGCCATCAAGGAACTCATATTAACGAATAATAAAAATTATAGCTTTTGTCACATTCTTAATATTTTAAAGAAAAATTGATATTTGATAGTTACCCTCTTTTATGTTTTGTTTATTTTATATTTAGGTTTTTGGTCCAAATGCATTTCACAATAAATTATTCATTCAGAGTATAAATTGATATCAGGTGTGGTGGCACACACCTGTAATCCCAGCACTTGGAAGCCTGAGGTAGGAGGACTGCCTTGAGTTCAAGGCCTACCTGGGCTACAAAGTAGTTTACAGCCTAGCTGAACTACATAGCAAGACCCTGCCAAAACAAACAAAAACAATGTATAAATTGGCATTCTCTAGTCTTGTATCAATGCAAGTTATTCAATAATTATTTTTCCATGGTTGAGAGATACATTATATTGTTGTTTATTTTTGCTTGTTTTTTAGGATGGTCTTTTCTTTTCTGAGGTATATATTTGTATTTGCCCCAATATCCCATTGTTTTGTGTGACCTTTGATAATTTTAAATTCTTTGTGGAATCATAATTTTGTTTTTGCAGTCAGTGTTAATCTTTTTGTTTCATTTCACTAGGTTTTACTTTTATGAGTGAACATAGAAAACCAGAAACTAAAACTAAAAATTAATTATAGCCATACTATCAAAGACTACTTTCAATTTCATTGAGCAAATTCTGCTGAACTATTGATTTTTTTTTTTTTTGGACAGACTGTACAGGGTGTACAGGGTCTCACTGCATAGATCAGACTCATAGTGATCCTCCTGTTTACAGCCTCCCAAGTGCTAGAATTATAGGCATGTGCCACCACACTCAGTCTCAATCACCATCTCAGTGGGCCTCAGGGATCAAACTTCTGGCCTCTGCATCTGCCTAAGCAGGTGCTTTAATCCGCTGAACTATTTGGCCAGCCCTTGAACTCTTGATTTTTAAGGAAATGTATTCTGATATGTGTGCTGTACCTTCACCTCGTGTTATGCCAAAAGTCGTGGTTGCTATTTCAATAAATACATTTTTTAATAACACACTTAATAATTTTTTAAAATAACTGTTATTCACATTATGGTTGCCTCTACATTTTTGTTGTTATATAAGTTGTTTTCACTTGTAAGCACTAAAATTTATCTCTGGATCCTTGAATTTTTGTCTATTAAAAATTTATTTTCACTGCTGTGGTTATCCATATTTTCTCCTTAGAAACTATTTTGTTCCTTTTCATGAACTAAAATTCTAAGGCCATATTAGAAAGATAGTTATTGTTATGAAAATGTTGTTTATTATTCCAGATGTTTAAATTTTTTCTCATGCATATTAGTGGTGTGTATTTCTTATATATAAATACATATATCCATGTGTATTTATTGGTTTGCTCTGAGAAATCAATATATTAACAAATGTAGGGTACTGAGACATATTCTTATCTAGAGTATATGTTTAATAAAATATTTTTCCCTATTATCATTGATATAATTATAATTATCTTTTTGGAAAATCTTTGATTACGTTGCTTACCTTCAAAATCAGAGTTTATAATAGAAAAAGAGAAATAATTGTAATACCTATAGGAAAGAAAGACTTTCCTCCAGCACTTCTTATTCAGCATGGAATTTAATAAGGAAAAATAAGTTTATGTGGGTTGTGTTTTGTTTTTTTTTTAGGTACAAACATCTTTTTTTTTAAGTCAACAGAAAATGGAAATACACTTTTTAAAGTTTCTAATACTAGAAGATTTCATACAATGTCTTTTAAATAAATCGTAAGTCAAAGATACAGTATAAATCTTAGAACAAAAATTAAGATTAAGCAATATTCAGAAAATTAAATGTTTCAAAACAATTGAACTAAGAAAAAGTTTTCATGATAACGAAGAAGTACTAAGAGTAAAACATAAGATAAATACTAGAATGGCAAGTAAATGACCAGCACTTCTAACAGTTTGAGGATAGGATATCGCACAAAGTTCTAGTGTGTTGTGAACATGCATAATGACCATGACAGTTACTGGTGGCTAGGTGTCACTTGTGGAACTGAGCTACAGCTATTTCTTTGAAATGCACCCTGTAGACTCAGGTGGAATCATGACCCATAGGGTGGAAGAGAAGTCCATTTGTAGGGTGTGCTGATGAAAATATTCTGCTGCTGAACACAAAAGAATAACTGAAAGACTACTATTGTATACCTCTTATTCTCCTCTGTTTAATTGTTTGCCCTATTTGGCGGTTTCTTTCCATTCTCATTCATGGGGCTGTGATCAATTTGCTCCCTCTCTAGAACATCATTTAGTAGTCTGTGTAGGCTTGGCTTTGTCATCATGAAATTCTTTAGTTGTTCTTTGTCATGAAAATATTTCACTCCTCCATGATATTTGAAAGAGAGTTTTGCAGGATATATCAGTCTGGGTTGGAATTTGTTTTCTCGCAAAACTTGAAGTTCTTCGCTCCATGCTTTTCTTGACTTGATGGTTTGTGAAGAAAAATCTGCCGTTATTCTGATGGGTTTTCCTTTAAATGTGATCTGCTTCTTTTCTTTAGCGGCTTTTAGAATACTGTTCCTATGCTGAATTTCTGGAAGGATTGTGTTTATTCAGACTTCATCATATATACTGTACAAAGAATGAAAGTCTAGAACCTTAAGGACAGAATGATAGATAATTGAAAAGACAGCTGTCAACACAGCAAGAAGCAATGAATGTGGTGGCACACACTTGTAATCCCACCACTTAGGAAACTGAAGCAGAAGAATGGTCATGAGTTCAAGACCAGCCTGAACTACATGAAGACAGAGCCTCAAAACAAAACAAAAAAAAAACCATACCAATAATAACAAAAAAGAGAAGAGGACATGTTTTCCTAATTTTCTCCAAAGAAAGAAAAAACCTGCAGGTCCCATTCCTTTGCCAGAATGGGGGAAACAGTAATACTAAGGGAGCCATGAAATATCTGATTAGTAATTTAATATTCCTTCTTAAATGTATCAAAGAATCTTTATATACATATTCCAGTGTGAATGAAACAGAACAGAACTAAACTATGAGTGGCAGTGAAAGCTATATTGTTAGAATATGCAGTGATACACATCTGGAATTTTAGCATTCTGGAAGGCTGAGACAGGAACATCATGAGTTTGAATTTACATTGGGAATTTAACAAGAGCCTGTATCAAAATAAAACATAAAAAAGTGGTCAAGGACATAGCTCAGTATAGTTGGCTCTGCTCAGCCCCTAAAACAAAAAATAAATAAAAGCTACATTATCAGTTTTAAAATCCAAAACTCACGCAGATATTGAGATGTTATAAAAAGTACTGATAAAATTAATATAGAACCTAAAGAACTAAAATGAGCAATAGAGAATTATGGGAGAAGATTGTTATTATAAAAAGAAATATTAAAAAAATAAAAAGAAATATAAAAAATCTAGTTTATTCTGGTGGTGAAATAATAATGTATAGTTTTTTCCCCTGTATTTTAGGAAAGGGTCTATACGGTGTTCAGGGCCTTACTACTAGATCAGACTTGTAGTGATCCCCCTGTTTACAGCCTCCCAAGAGCTAGGATTACAGGTGTGTGCCACCACACCAGGGGCGGGGTCGGCATGGCAAGGCAGGGGATTAAATCCCCAGCCTCTGCACCTGCTTGCAGGCGCTTTAATCCACTGAGCTATTTGGCTGGCCCTTAATAATGAATGACATTGAGAATAAGAAATTGAAGTGACTGTATATTTAAACTAAAATAACCATTACCATTTTTATTTGATAAAAATGTTGTGGAAGCCAGGCATGGTAGTACACACCTATAATCCCAGCACTTAGGAGGCTGAGGCCAACCTGGGCTACATTGTGAGTTTAAGGCCGGTTTACACTACAAAGCAAAATACTGTCTCAAAAAAAATGCTGTAGAATCAATGACACAGGTCATAGTTTATCAGTATGTTGAAAGCCACTAACATAGAAACTTTTTTTCTTCCATGGCAATCAACCTGCCTCAGCCTCCCAAATTCTAAGATTACAGGTATGTACCACCACTCATGGTTTAAACTAAACACTTTGAAAGGGTAACTATTATGCTAACTTTTATCCAAGTAAAAAATCTTTCTAAATGGTGTGCTTGTAGCTGGATTTCGTGACATGTGCCTGTAATCTCAGCACTCTGGAAGGCTGAGGAAGGAAGTTCATTATTCTCTATTGCCTAGTAAGAATTAAGCCCTTCATATCTTCTCTTCTGAGAAATCATGATTAGAGAATGAGTTGGCATAATAATGAAGACTGAGCAATTTAGCTAGAATATCTGTCAAATTAAAAAAATAAAAAAGGAAACAAGGGAAGTAGTTCAGTGCAAAGGCTCTGAGTTTCATCTGTAGTATTCCAAAAAGTGAAAAACAAATGCACTTTTAAAATATGTGATTAAAGTCAATACTTTTTATAAAATGAATTTAGGGGATTATAAAGAACTTTTACTTCTATAATAACATAAAAACTCTTGGCAATATAAAAAGTATACTTTTAAATAGGGCTGGAATCCTTTCAAAGCTTTATTGACTCATTCCTATTAATTGATGCTGTCAGCTAGAACTTTATCTGAAGCTATCAGCCAGAACCCCTCTATCTGGACTCTGGTGTGGGCTTTCTTACATCATGGCAAGGCTAGGAACAAACATTGTCAGAGAAACCAGACAGTTGTTACAGTGCTGCTGCTATTGTTTGAGTGGAAGAGTGAACTTTATTGATTAATAAAAAACAAAAATGATAAGTATAGGTAAACATTCAATAAAATTTACAGGAGGCCATTGTGTGGGATTTTTTTCCCTATTTTTAGGGGGAGTGGGTTAAGATAGGGTTTCACTGTGCAGTTCAGGCTGGCCTTGAACTTACTTTCTAGCCCAGGCTGGCCTCAAACTCAAAGCAATCGTGCTGCCTCAGCCTTCTGAGTGTTGGGATTGCAGGCATGCACCACTATGCCCACCACTGTTTTGGACTATGCTCCTGGGCTACCTCCTGAAGTACAGTAACTCCTGACATGG